CGACGACGACGACGACGACGACGACGACGACGACGACGACGACGACGACGACGACGACCGTAGCGAGAAAAACACTGACTAAGGGCTTCAAGCAGCGACAAGTGTGTCATAGCCTCATTTACGGAAACAGCGGACGGGCTAAGCGGAGCCCGCAAACAGGGCGACTGGGCGATGAGTTTTCGGATCTGTCGGAAAAGCTCAGTGGTCGCTGGGTAGCTGTAAAGCCCTAAATGCTTCCTGCATTAAACTAAATATGGCTGCTCAAATCTGCACATGTTATCAGGATGAAACCCCAGAACTCCAGGATCAGTGCGACCTGCAACCTGGGTTTCATTGCATGTCCTGCCACCTGCAGGCACTCTTTGTGAGTTCTAAGTGAGCCGGCTTGTCTTGCATGGAAGCACCTCCGATTCGACCCTGAGATTGAAAAAGACATGAAGCCCATCATGTCCATTGAGAATCACATGAATATCACATAATTAACTTGTTTGAAGAAATTGAACATGGTTGACATGGTTGATTCGCTCCCATTCACCATGTTCGCCCAGATCCAGCCGCCCTGCAGATGACAGCCCAGATCCGCCTGGCAGGCTGATCAACTGCTCTGCATAGCGCTCTTGTGCCGAGCTGGTGGCATTCGGCTCGAAGCTCTCGACGGTGACGAAGGCGTCCTGAAAGACACCGATGAAGACCCATAGGATCCCATAGGCATCGATGGCAGGCCAACATTGAGACTAACGCACATTGGCCAGTGAAAGGGCAAAATGTCAGAGCTTGTGGCCACACTTGTTTTGGTGAAAAACAGTGATTTGTTATGCTGTGCAAACCTTGACATGTTCCCAAGGCGGGGTTCTTCGTGTTTTTTCCCCACACCGAAAGTCTTTGTGGCCATTAGCCGAAGCACCTAAACTGGCTGACACCTTGGAAATTTGAGGCTAGAGACTCCAGTTTGAGACTCCTGAATTACACATGCAAAAAGCCAAGAACGAACACTCTTTCTGAACTTCCACAGCTTTGTTTCCCCATCTCAAGGATTAGCATCCAGATGCGTGCAAAGTCCAAGTGATGACCGCCCAGTAGACATTGGTATTTTCATGGTAGATCAGATTCCACTCAGGCTTCCGCACGATGTTTTTTTTTGGACAGGCGGTCAAACACCTTCTACCAGAAAGGTTTCTGGTGTTCCTTCATGTTGAGGAAACCCACCCTGCACGGTCCAATCAAAAATGGAAAGGTACCCAAATCCCAGAATCTCTTTCAAGAGAGATCCAAAAGCTAAAAATAAATGTATACCTCGGCAAACTGAAATGGCAAATGCGCATATACACAAAAACAAATCAAAGAGTAGGATGGAACATGTGAAAATTCAAGTCTTAAAATTCTTAAAAGATTCTGCTCGCTTCCCAGCGTCGATTGTAGGAATCCCACTCGTGGAAGCATGGCCGTACGTCGCCAGCTGGACTTGGGCCAAGCGTGAGTGCGCCAGAACGAAGGAACGCACATCCAGACCGATTTCCAGAAACACGAGGAAGTCCAGCTGGAGATTGAAGATCCTCACCATGCTCTTGGTGTCTTTTTGGTGTGTCTCTTTGTTTATCGGACTATGTTCGGGAGTGGTTTTCCCGCTTGCGGGGGTGATTGATGATTCCTTGAGATTGAGAATCCACACCAACTGCAGGGTGTGGTGCTGTGTAAATTTCCCCAGCAAGCTTCCAAAAACAAGTCTCAACTTTCAGAGTCTACGGGCCCACGGGTCTATGCTGGTCGAATCAATGTTGAAGTATTCCCCCAACCATCAAACCATCTGCCAACAAAAGCCGGCAATCTGGCCACCTCCCTCAACACCCGCTACTGAAAAGAATGGATGATCTGCACAAACCATCAGCTAGGAGGGGTTGAGCAGGGAGGAGCAAGGAGAGTTGATAGTTGATGGTAGGTAAACCTCTTGGATGTTCACCCATCCAAACTCGCGGTGTTCGATGCCTCAAAGCTCTTGAACCCCCACTGCAGTTTTGTGCCTACCACTGGTATACCACCCTTGCAGAGCTTCTGAGTCATATGAGGGTATACGGTATACTACTCTTTTCAAGCCTTTCTATCCCAAACAGCTCACCAAAGAGCTCACCGGCATCTCCCCCACTCCCCCCATCTGGGTCCTCTCCCTGGCACTTGACAGCTGCTTCTCCGTGCCTGGTGAAGCCGTTTCCCAGTCGGAGAGCTCTTCCAAGTGATCCGCCCGAGCGTGCACGGCAGCCCAAACGTCCGACGTCTGCAGGAGATCGTCATGGCTGGTGGGGAGAAAGCTCCAGGGAGCCTCTGGTTTTGAGGAGGTGATCTGACTTGATCTCACCCGTAGCTATAGCCGTGGCTGGCTGACCCAAAAAGAGAATATAGCACACCTGATGAAGACACAAAACAGAATAACCAGGTCCCAAGAGCAGTAAGAGTAAGGAGTAAAGAGAAGTCGTTGACAATCGTTTGCCACTTTGGGAGACGTGGATGCCTTATCGACATCGCAAGACAAATAAGCCTCGGTAACTTTGCCCCGTGCTCATCAAAATTGAATATAGATAGGTGCTGATCATCTCTCAGATGAAACTTAAATGGAGCACACTCTACATTGCAATATCTGTTTCCAAACCCGCAGAAACAGCCCAATCGCTTCAACATCTCCCGGTCCTCCTTCTCCTTCAAGCGGCCCAAAGAGATCAGAGCCACCCACAAGCTCCGATTCTCGCGCTCCTCTCTCTCCCCGCGTAGGGGATGGAGAAGTCCGCGCGCCAGGTTCCCCACGGCGCTCTCTCCAAAGAGACCCGACACGAAGCCCACGCGTCGCTGTCGGTCGGCCACAGACTTCACGGAAGAGAACGACGCCGACACTGCGCGGGTCGGCCCGTGGCCACAGTGGCCCAGGCTTGGGAGGAGCGACACATGGATCCTCCGCAGATCGGTCGGGAGGTCCGTTCCAGCTGCTGGGGAATGGGGAGTACGAAAGCTGCTGGGTCTTCATGGTTCAGCAAGTCGTGACCTTTTTACAAGGTGACCTTTTTGGAGGTCTTCCCTCCGAGAAGCTTAGAACATGTTCTCTTCACCTACAACTTGCTGCACATGCTTTTTTGTTTAAATCACACCAAACGGATAAAAAATACAAAGATTGAAACAGGACAAAAGGGAAACTGGCCAACATCCTAACACAACCAACACCAACCAGCGACCACGGTGTCTGCCGGGTGACCCAAAAAGCTCCCGTTTCTTCCGTTTCACTTGGCCTCGAGTAGACGGAGGCCAACTCTGGAAGATGGGGCACCAGCTGAGGCCCCAAATAGCCGAGCCGTGTCACCTCGACAGCTCGGGTGTCGAAGGCCTCCGGGATGCTCACCTCGATGAGGAGCGAGGAGGAGCTCTTGTTGGATCTGTGGTGGATGTGAGGACTCTCTCAAACGGGTGACCCTTGGAATGTGAACAACTGTTGTACATGGCACTTGCAACTGCACCAAAGTGGTTGATTGACTATAGTTCTCCTACGAAAGATTGGCCAATCTGCTGCTTTACAAGGTGAAACAAGCAATGCCACGCACCTTTCTTACCTAAGCCCACATCAACACTGGTCTGCAACCAGTCCAACACCAAACTATACGGCAAACGGCATGGCAGCAAAGCTCCATTGGCAAAAAAAACATCAAAAAGTCTCGCCATTGCCCATCTTGAGCTTCGACGTTTCTTTTTTTGCACTTCATCAGCTGTTGGCACATCAAAAAAAAACCAAGAAGTAATTCTGACATGATCTGACCCAACTCCTTCCAGGTTCAGGCACCTCCCTCCACAGCCCAGGCGCCGGAAAGTCCCAGTGTCGGCGACTGCGGATTAATCGACTGAGGCCCTTGGTGAACTTCGCCAAAGAGCTGAGGACCTCTGTGGAAGACCGGTGCGTGGCAGGTAGATGTGCCAGGCTCGCTTTCAGCAAAGCTCCTGAAAGCGAAAGAACTGGGACTGCAGAGTTGCCGTTTCAGCAGGGGTTGCAGAATGTCCTGCAGGGGCCTTGAATCCAAGCAGTGCCAACCATATAAGAGTGTCCCCAATGAAATTGTCCATTGCCCTGAGTGGTGTTTTGGCCATGCATCTCTTCTCAAGCTGAGCCTCAAGTCTGCCATCGGCAAACATCATCGCAGATCTGCTTCAGAGTGCCATTAAAAACCCCAACATCGAAGGAAGACTCTTTATACATCTTTATGCTCTTTGGTTGCTGAAGATTCAGCACCTCGGTCCTGAAAGAAACTTTTTGCAGCTTAGCATGCGGTTCGCGCCGTTCGCGTGAACTCGCACGGCCACCCTTAGGGTCTAAGGCCCCTCTTCTCCTTGTCGTTCCCTTTGTGCCAGGAGGTTGGGCGGCCCAGGCACCAGCGCAGACTCCAGCCACCTGCTTGCACCATCCAGGTCATCGAGCAGTTCGTAGACCTCAGAAACTAGGGCTAGGGCCTGGGGGACGGCGATAGAGCAATAATGATAACACGGGGCAAAAGAAACGACGCTGAAATGGGTGGGCGCTCTCCGACATACTGGAACACACAGACTCACAACCCCCCCTTTGATATATAGATATATATATATATACACACATAATACATAATCTTTGGCTCAAGCCATTTCTGCTCAAGATACAGCTCCTCTCTCTCACTTCAGGGACTTTCCCTACGGCATTGGAGCTACTCCCTTTCTGCCCGTCGTCGAGCTGACCGCTCCAGCAGAGCTCTTTGGCACCTGGCACTAGAGCTCCTCCAGAATGACCTGGACGAGGGCCTATCAATGTTGCGGCAAGGCCAATTGCAGCAATTGGATTTGAGAAGACCGCATTCAGCCCAACTACACCTGCCGGCTATGCGGGACACCTTGGAAGAAGCCAGCACAAGGCTTTGCCAAAGCTGGAGATAGCAGATCCAAGAGCTGGACCAGATCCAAGCCACGGCAGGTGACCCCTCCACCAGGGCTCACTTCCAGCAGGCCACCTCGCCCCTCCAAGCTCCAGAAGACGGCCTCAGAGATCTTGGCCCCAGCTTGGGATTCTCTGGACGAGACCATGAAGGTGAAACTTTCTGAGGTCGGCATCAACCCTTCACCCAAGGTCATCGAGCCAGACTTGACAGACGTTCTCAAGGAGAACCTCGCGGCCCCGGTCAAGGAATTGGTCGAGAAGATCACCAAACCTCAGCCAGAGACGGAAAAGGACATGGCATCCAGGTTAAAACAGCAAGTCACTACGCTTCGGGACATCTCCCAACGGAAGCAACTCCTTCAGCAGAAGATCGACAACACCAAGAAGCACGCACTACCAAGAGCTCCTGGACGAAATGAAAACCTTGCAAGGCAAACTTGAGCAGGAACAGGCCTCCTTGAACACCATCAGCACGGCCTACCTCACCAAGGTCAGTTCCACTCAGGCTGATAAGCCTCTTCAACCTCTCGAAACAGAGATGGAAGATTCAGTGCCGGCTGCAGTAGCTGGTTTTATCACCACCCTTGGTGTCAGCCTGACTCAGAAACAAAAAGAGCAGTTGCACGTCATGCTCAAACGACCTTCGGTAGAAGCTGAAGTCACAGATGAAGAGGCCAAACGCAGGAAGACAGAGATGGGCAATTCAGCGTCGTGTGGGTAGCCCTTTGCCCTCTCGTTCGTCTCATTCGCTTTCGCTTTCAGACAGGGGACTTTCGTCATGCACCTTTGCTCATGACTTGGGACACTCTCAACTGGCATGCAGGGGTATTGCATCCTCAGTTGATCCTTTGCTTTCAGGCTCAAGCTTGGGCCTTCCTTCACCGGGTACGGGCTATGGTCCGCGCCGGACACTCCTTGACGAAGCTCAAGGTTTTTGGAGAGGCACAAACCTCTCCTGAGCCACTGGCCAGACAGACAGCCGAGGCACCGTGCACCTCTACCTCAGAACAGCTCCCACGGGAGACTGTTGCATACGGGACCTTGGCTGTTCAATCGCTGGCCAACTTGCTCGCGATGGAGGTTGACACCGGCGCCTCCCTGACCTTTGAGCAACAGACTCTTTTTGATCTTTGCAGCAATGACTTGCTCTCCTCATGCCAACATTACGGCAGGAGCCCTACTCTCCAAGGAGGGCAGCAGCTTCTAATGGACTTGAAGAGGATGCAGAACCTCATCCAACGCCATCTCAGTGTTTCTGGGGAAGTTGAACACATGGTGGCGAACATCTTTGTCTATGGGAATGCACCCTGGAGGTGTTGGTGCTGGACTGATGCTTTTGCAGAGGACGTGACACAAGCTTGGGGCAACACCATTCAAGCGGTACGTCAATTTTTTTCGGACAGTGAACCTCAACTGCTCACCGGGTTGCACGACATGCATCAAATTTGGGCGCAATTTGACCATGAAGAGCAAGCTGATGCTGTAGACTTTCTACATTCCTTGTGGACCTACTCTGGCAGCTCTTTCTTTGCAGGGAGGTTTTTTCACCGCAGCGAACGAGGACACACGGAGGAGAGAGAGCAGTTTCCTCTCAACTTCATCTTCCCTGATCGTGAAGGTCCCATCACTCTGGACTCTCTGGTCAATCTTTGGGCAGATGAAGGCAGAGGGCAATTTCTATATGGCTCTCCTGGTGGAGTCGTCCTCAATCTCCAACGCTCCACCTTGCAAGATGGCTTTTGGACCAAGCATCACCGAGAGCTCGATCTGCGCACCAAGGTCACTTTGCCCTTCTCCGAGGATGGTGTCAACGTCCACATGGCCACCTACCAGGTCGTGGGGCTCGTCCTTCACCAAGGAGCATCTCATGAAAATGGACACTACCAAGCCATTTTAGCCATTGACAACATCTACTGGTTGGCAGACGATGGGTCCTATCCTACTCCGTTGGCTCACCTCAGCCTTCAACAACGCAAAGAGATCTCTCAGATTTGGTTGACAGTGGCTCCCACGGATGAGTTAGTCACCGACACGGCCATGGATGTAGCCGAATACCTTCCAAAGAAACCCAAAACCTGTCAAGAGACATTGCACATCTCCTTCAGCAATGTCACCTTCTTTGGCAAAAAGGTCCAAGACTGGGTTTGGGGTCAAAAAAACACGATCATGCTCTTCCAGGAGACACATCTCCAGCAGAAAGCCTAGGACACCACTCTTCAGTAGTTCAATTGTCGAGGCTGGAAATGTCATGATGTTCCAGCAGAACCCACCGGCAATGGGGGATCGACTGGACGCTTCCTCACTCTCCATGCCACTAGGCACCTCATTCACCACGTCCACACCTACACCAAGCAGGGCAATGGTTGGACTGCATTGGCCATGCAAAGAGAGGGCCTTGAGATCTACCTCATCAGGGAATCCCTCCAATCTCCTCTCAATGCAAAGCTTCTGGGGCAGTTCCTGGGCCACTTGCAAGCTCCTTTCCTCATTGGTGGCGACTGGCAGACGGCTCCCGAGGATCTTGCAGCTACCGCAATTCCCAGCAAGTTCAGAGCTCAAATCCTGGCCACTCCTGGGCCGACGACACTTCAAGGCAGTCACCTTCACTTCATACTGGTCTCTACTTCCATTGCTTCAGCGCTCCGCATTGAAGCCAACTGGGAAGTCCTTGGAAGCCACATTGCGCTTTGGCCCTTCAGTTTGACTGCACTCAAGCTGCACTTCCTGTGCAACAACTACAGAGGTTTCCTCCCGTCACTCGGAACTACCACCCCAAGAATCTCTGGACCAGCTACACGGAGGATGATGGGCCCTTTCACATCATTGGGCAGAGCATCACTGGTCTGGGGTCCGACTTTGCGAGATGGGCCACGCAGACTGAGAAGTACCTCACCCAACACCTTCACAAGCCTGTCATTGGACGCGGCTCTCAGGTACATCTCTATAAGCTTCCCTGGCCAGTTCCACTAAACCAAGGGTGTGGAAGAAAGGCAATGCTGCCTATGGGAGAAAATGGGCATCAAGATCAACCTTGCCAACCATGGCCGCTACCCGGGGCTTCTTCAGGACTTGAAAGAAATGGCCACAAGAATTCCTCATCACGCCTCCAAAGGGCTCGACCAGCAGGACTTTGAGGAACAACTTCTGCAGTGGATCTTTGGAGGCAATCAAGCTCCTGATGACCTTCTTCACATTGTTCAACAAGAACAACAACTCGCCCAAGAACAGCTTCTCAGCGCCACCAACCATGAATTCAGAGAATGGCTGGAGAAAGCTCATGACAAAGGTCTTCGAGGACTCTTCCGAAGCCTGAGACAGAAAGATCATGCATGGCAGCGACCCTTTCAAGACTTGCCCTCCACCTCTCGCATTGAAGCCAGAGAACAACAGTGGGGCGCCGTCTGGATCCCCATCGAAGCACCGTTGCAGGTGAGGGGCATGAGAGTGGCCCAAGCTCAGGCTCTCCATCTCAAACCCATTGACTCCAGCCTCTTGCAGAAGATCATGCGTCGGCTCCCAAACAAGGCGGCTGGACCTGATGGCATTTCATATGACTTCCTTCGTCACCTTCCCTATACAGCCGTCGAGAAACTGGCTCAACTCCTCACCGAGATGGAGAAGGAAGCTGACCTACCTCTTCAATTGCGACACACCAACATCGTGATGATCCCGAAGAGTGAACGCATCGAACGCCCGATTGCACTCACTTCCTGCCTTTACAGGCTTTGGAACAGCTACCGCAAGCACGACCTGCACAAGTGGCAACTGGGTCTGGACAAAGATATGCCTTGGGACCATGCCAGGCCTCACAGGGATTGCCTTTCTATAGCAGTCGGACGCATGCTCAAGGCGGAGATTGGCAAGCATCAAGGAATACACACGGTCACGTGTCTTGCAGACCTCACCTGCTTCTACGACACAGTGCAACTCGATCATCTCATTGAGCCAGCCATGGACCTCAACTATCCACCCTTGCACTTGAAGCTTGCCCTTGACCTGTACACAGGGCCCAGCCGATCCAGGCAGAGGGCATTGCCGGGAACCCCAAGTACTACCAGAAAGGCATTCTTCAAGGATGTCCTCAAGCTCCGGCTATAGCCAAACTGGTGCTTTACAGACCGCTCCGGGCCCTGGTTCAAGATCATCCTGCAGTTCTCCTGCAGACATGGGTCGACGACGTCTCCTTCGACATCAAAGGGACTGGGGACTGACCCTGACTATGCTGCCAGAGAGGCGGCCCTTGCCTTCCGGACGCTGCAAACAAACCTCGCCTCAGAGGGCTTGAAGCTCAACACGGACAAAACTGGCTTCATCACGAGCAGCAAGGAGTCAGCTAAAGCCTTGGACGCTTTGCTCAAAGAAGATGACCCCAAGCTCCACAACATCCTCAGGGACCTCGGCATTGACGCCACCAACTCACGGCGTCGAAGGATCACCCAGATCAAAAAAACGCTTCCTGAAGGGCAGAGGTTGAGTGGGGATCATGCTTTGCCTGAAGCTGGGCAGCGCAATCAAATACAGATTGCATCGGGGGGGCAATACACCCAGTGATGTCTTGGGGCGCCCAAGCGAACGGGTTAGCTCCACAACGACGTCAACAACTACGCGTCCTGGCAGGTCGAGGACTTGGCCTTCAACGATCTGGCTCCGTCGATGTCGTTCTTGACATGCATCCGGACAAGAGTGACCCGGGAGATTCCATCATCCTCCAGCACATCCACACGGTATGGAAAGTGTTGCACTCGATGAAAGCAGAATCTCTTCTGGATCAGCTGGAACTCCGCCTTGGATCTCCTTCTCAAGGCCAAACACCGCTGGCAGGTCGTCACAGGCCCTCTTCAAGCGCTCCAAGCCTATTTGCTGGATTACGATTTCGACATCTCCAACGGCAAACTCTGGAAAAGGACCGGCTATTGAGGCATTCCTGACTGCACCATCAGCCTGGAAGCGCTCTGGCCGGAGATCCAGCACAAGTTGACTGAAGAATTCCAGTGGCAACGGTTGTTGAGATTAACCAGGTATGAGGGCTGCCACGAGTTGGAACGGAGGTTGGACTGGACCATGAGCAAAACACTCCAAAAGATGACCAGTGAGAAAACAGCTGTTGGCATCCGAGCTCTTCATCAGGGCGCCCTTCATGGGCAGTCTGGCAAGTGCCCTCTCTGTGGTGTTGAGCTGACCTTCATTCACCTCCTCTGGGAGTGCAGTTTCTGGGAAGGCCGTGTCCAACCTCTTCCAGATCAATGGCGAGACAGGATTCAGGCCAACACTGAGCCGGAATTATGGAACAGAGGGATGACTCAGTCCATCTTTTACATCCCTGACGGCGGCATGGCCACTTTCACGGGCGAGGGCCTTTGGGCTGATCTGGAAGCCTGCAACCTGCCTGCCGGCCATGCGGTGTCCTTGGCAGTGGCTCCCACCTCAAGGGACCCAAGGCACCGGCGCTATGTCTTCGCCATCTGCATCCACCAGGTCTTCACCAAGGAACGAGTTGGCTCCTTGACCGGGATTTGCCGTGGGAAAGCCACCAGATTGAGAGCCTTGTTCTATGGCCTGAAACACCTCTCCCTCCACATTAAGGACAAGGTCCACGTTCCGTTCTTCCAACACGCCATCTGGAAGAATTGGTCCTTCCTGGCGGCTCACGAGAAGTTCCCTGACCTTAGTCTTGGACTGGAACATGAGGACTTCGATCAAGTTCGTCTTCTCTTCTTCAATCGAAACGAGATGGACTCCAACCTCAACAGGAAAGCCTTTCAGCAAGATGCTCAGGCCAAGGCCACTCAGACTGCCCTTTTGGCCAGGCCTGAAGACATCATCAACCTCCAAAAACACATCGACGAAGACACCAGAGATGTCCTCAGTGTTGCTGGAAACAGGATGAACATCCTCCTCACCTGCAAGGAGCACTTTCTACATCACAAGTCCTCTGTGATTGACAACCCCAAAGTCCCATTGGTCCAGCAAAAGAAGGACCTCCTGGCCTGCTTCATGAAGGATCCACAAGCTCATGGGCACCAATGGATGGTCTACAGGTCAGGCGTCCAGTGCACTCAATGCCGTGTGAGGTATCACACCAAGTCGATGATCAAGGAACTTCGTGAAGGCCTCACTTCACCTTGTGCACAGGCTGCTCCGACCCAATCCAACAAGAAGACTCGGTTTGAGGTCATACATGACCTGCTGGAAAGCCAAGGGGAGGTTCAACCAGGCACTCACCACTTGCGCCTGGAGAAAGCGTATTTACGCTGCACACAGTGTCGAAGCTACGTGCTTGCTAGGGCTGGAGAAGAGATCTTCACTCGCTTCCTTGGCGAAGTCTGCCATCACGGACCACTCGCCAGTGACCTTTGGTTTGGGCACCCTACTCATCCGATGATGAGAACAGGCAATGTGGTCGAGTGCCAGAAGTGCCACGTCAGGTCCAGGCTTCAAGATGGCACCGTGCTCCGGGAGGTACTTCGCATCCGCGATTCCGCGGTTGAAGTCCACGCGGTTCCATCATCCTCCTCGGTACCAGTGTTGTTCCGGCCAAGCAACAAAACCTTGTACCACTATACATGTAGGGGGACAAAGTAGAACCCAAAATTGTAAAGACAAAATTTCAGCAGAGCGCTAAATCTACGTGGGGGGGGGGAGGCACAAGTAGCAAGCAACCAGGGCCATCAGTGGGACGTACCCACGGAAAGAGACAGCGTCAAGCGAGGACAGCGGAGAAAGTAGGGGGAAAGAGCACCAGCAGGCAGACAGTCCCTGATCCACGCACCAAGCCAGCACATCGGCAGACAGCACCCCAAAACCCAGAGCCCAGCACCCGCCACAGAGGCACGGATAAAAGGTTCCGGACAAGACCGGAAACCGGCTGAGGGGCCCGGACAAGACCGGAACCCCACTAGAAAATGTGAAGTAGGGGCCTGGACGAGACCAGACCCCGTGCCCGGACGAGACCGGAAACGCACTATAAGATGATAGAGGCAGGAGCCAGAAAAGGTACAAGCCAAGAAACGGCGTCGACTGCGTCGAGAACCATTGCCATCGCCACTGGCGGGCCGCTTTGGGCTGATGTGGGTGGAGGGGCCGGCACCTTTTCCGAAACCTTTGCCTTTAAGTTGAATGCCGACGGCATCAGCTGCAACAACGACCTTCCGAGAAGGGCGCGGAACCCCGGGTTTGACCCCCACAGGGGGGCCATTGTCCATCAGGCTGCTTGGTCCATAGGGTGGCAAGGGGGGCCGCACCCCAAAGACGACGAAGTGCACGGCCGCTCTCCGACGCGGCAAAGGTACATAGCAGCACCCAGGGTTTGCCTTCCGGAGGTGGCCTGTTGGCGTTCGACAAGCTGCCAATCGCCCAAGAGGCATCGAAAGACCGAAGTGCCCGAACACTCTCCTGGGTTGCTGGGTAGGGCGTGGCCTGCTCTTCCACACCACGGAGGAGTGTCCGGTACATACGGACCTTGAGTGGTGCGCCTCTGTCCGCCGTGCCATTGGCCACGGCAGCTTTGCCCTCGTTATAGTCGTGGCACCGTGCTCCTCAACGCCAAGCTCCGCCGACCATGCAAGACAGAGGCTTTCTATGACATCCGCAAGCTGTTGGCATGAGTCCAACAAGAACTTTGCTGCAGTAAAAGAGCCGGACAAAAAAAAATAATACATAATCTATAATATATGTATATATGTAATGATAGGAAAAGGCCATATTTTGGGTGGTTGGTGGTCCAAAATAGAGGTCATGCAGGTTCTAGGTCTAGGTCTAGGTATATACATAGATTGCCAGTTTCCCCCCATGAACCGTTCTTCGTGGTCCCCCAAGCGGTTGCTCTATTCTTGAGCCATACAGTTGTGGGGATGAAGACGGGCAGTCGTGTAACGCGGGCATATGACTGCGGCAAATTGAGTTGTGGTTGGGGAGTATGTGACTACTTCAGGCAGAAACAAATTTATGCTTTAACCTGCTTTCATAAGACACCATCCCGTCAAAGATCGAACTGACAAGTCCCATGTGTGCGTGTGGCAGGTGATGTGGGACGATTGAATCTAATGGTAACGGTGTCCCAGGGTTAACATCTTCACAGGTCACAGCATATTGGATTCTGGGAAGGGTGAAATCATCTTCAACAAAGCGCAACTTGAGTCCGGCCGGTGTGTGGGGGGGGTGTTTCCAGAGTGACTTTTGGGTCCTCTAGAGCCACACCACTTACCTCAAGTAGAGCCGAGACACATGGCCCAGGATTAAAGCCGACCGTGGATCAGCTGTGGCCAAGTCATGCACATCAGACTGCTTCAGCAGGGGAAGAGCCTCCAGCAGGACTCGTGGTCCCTGAAATCCGTTGGATCGTTAATCGTTTGAGTGGATTGGGTCATTTGGCTCAATTGCTTGGAAAAGACGAATCTCTGAAATTGATTGAAATTGCACCAATGTCATGCTTATTGGCCAATCCATGTCTACCGGCCGCTCCAACATGGCTTTGGCTTTTGTCAAATCTCCTATATAGTTGGAGTCAATGAGGTTGTGGTTCATCTGGCCCAAACAACCCCCAAGCCGCACCAAGCTATGGCCTGCCAGTCTCAAACAAACAGTTTGCAAACACCAACCTACTGCGCTTTGGCCAAAGAGATCCATGTGGCTGGTCATTTCAATTCACTTGAAACATGTTATTCAACGGGATCAATCATGCCAAGTAAAGATATAGAAAATCTCTGAAACCACCCAAAGTGGGACTGGAGTGATCCGCTTACACCTGTTTTCAAGCAGACTGGTCGAGTCGTTAAAGAAACGGTCCGTTTGGGAAAATTGCGGGGCAAAATGTTGGTTCGAAAAAGCCGACTCTTAGTGAAAGTGTCAATACTGAAGAAAGGAATTACAGGAGTCGGGGTTTGTTCCGGTTTTCACAATTCTTAGACCACTTATCTTGGTTGCTGGTCACAATTCATGTCAAAGTGAGAACAATTGACAAATCACCCGGCTCATTGTTGGGGAAAAGGCACCAGCTTCTGCCTATGCAACAAGTTGTCATTCACTATCTCAGTATACACGTGGCGGGTAAGTCCTTTCATTGATCCCTTCACCTTTGGCAAGGATGCCGATGAACCAACACAGATCTATATACATCGAAAGAAGATGAGCATCCTCTGCAGGGAATATTCACCACCGGAAAAATGACCACAGATCGCACTTGTACTTCAAACGCTTACAGTAAGACCTTTTCTGAACAAGCAAGATCCCCCCTTGATACAAATCAGATTTGGGAGGCAGCGTCTTCCACACTCAGAGCCACGCCTGATCTACATGCTTGTGCTGTAACAAGAGAAAGGCAGTCAGAAGCGCTGCCCTCGCGCGCCAGGAACTCTGAGGCCCTTGAGCAGCTTGCACGTAGGTCGCTAAGGCGTCCTGCAGACGTCCAGACTCCTCGAAGGACAGGCCTTGTGCCAGGAGCTTGGAGACTTTCTCTTGATAGAACTGGGCCTGGAACGGTAAGAAGGACATGGGGAATTGATTCCTCACCAGCGTCGTTCACAAAGAAATTGAAACACAAAAGATCTTAAAATAAAACTCTGAAGAATTCTGAAGATGTCACGCTTGAAACATCGAATCCCCGAAGAACACCTCCAACTACCCGATGAACATCGAACGTCGAACAAATTTGTTGCTACAGTACTGAAGTAAGACCATCCCTTTATCTCCTGAAGATGGCGACCATGTTCGTAGATAGGCTACTTCGGTTGCGGTATCTTTGTTTGGTGGCCAAACTAACTTCCCCACCAGCAGCAGCAAGACCAACCAACAATCAATGAAACCAAACCAAAGAAAGCAACATCAAGTACGCAGCAAAAGACAGCAAGAAGCTGCTATCAGAAGCGAGTGTCGCTTGTTGGCAGGTCTCCACGCAACATGTGGACGGTGAAGCAAAAGCCGCTGGCGCAAGTCTGGGATACAATACCACTGTGGCGCCCTTCTCCCCTGAAGCAGTTCGAGGATGCAAAGAAGCAAACAACTGACATGATGCAGGTCACACGGTCATGACGAGTCGCGAAAAAAGAAGAACGTGAAACCACGCAGAGCTTGGAGTCTTCCATTGGCTTTCTTTCTTTTCTTATTGTCAGTCTTGAAGTTTGGGCTGCACAGAAGGGAAAATTGTCGAGGGGGCAGGGCACTCATCACCCTCCCATGCATAGCAAAGCATAATGCAAAGCTGCGCAAAGAGTCTTAGACAGCGGTGCAAACTAACATGTTCGCAATCATCCATCTCCTCATCATATCCACAGCCCTTGAAGTCGGTCAACAGCTCCTCTCGCGACGAGTCTCGCGACTCCCGAGTCGGACCGAGACGCGTCGATCCGCCGAGGTGTCGGTCTCCGGACGTCTCCGGACGTCTCCGATCAACAGATGTGGAGAAGGTGAGCTCCTCTCCTTTGAGCCTCGCAGCAGCGCAAGAGGAGCCCTTTTTCATCCAAAAAAAAAAGGAGGTGCTTCCCCAGATGTTGCTTCCCCAGAAAAACGGACATCTATTTGACTGCTTCCTTTTCTATTGGAAAACAGAAATCACCAAAAAAATTAAATGTTGCTCCAAAGAGACATACTTCTAGCCATTCCAGCCTCATCAATCTGCGAAGGAGCCCCAACATGCTGCTGACGATTCTCTACAAATCTCTAGTCAGATCCCACATCCCACCACACCCCTACAACTCGCAAAAGAGAAACAGTCCACACGTCCAGGTCTTGTTCTGTCTTGTCTTGTGCACCCTGTATGGCCAGAGTTTCTGCCAGTACCCATCTCAACCCACAACCTCGATTCCAACCCCAACTGTAACAAGAACAGAAGACTCTCCGCTTCCTTCTCCTGCAGTCGCTCCACTTCCGCCACCGCCACCGGTCCTGCCGATAAAGCGCCAACCCGCCGAAGCAGCTCTCCACCGGCAGGACGGACGAGACGGCCGCGTCGGCCGCGTTGGCCGCCCAGAGGCGTTGGAGTCCACAGAGACCATGCGGGAAGAAGCTGCGACCCAGCGCCTAGGGACTCAGATTCCAGAGGGAAGACCCCTATAGGACCTATATAGTCTATATAGGAGTTCTTCGGAGCACATGGCGAAAACCACCCAAATTCCACAAAGAAGCTCCCCCATGCGAACGTCACTGTGTTCTGACCGTTTCAACCCCCCCAAGATCCACCCCAGATTCGCCCTGAAAACCCGCCCAGCAAGAAACCCGATCCACCCCCCGCGGCGTGTTTTCCCGGACACCTTCTCGAAGTCATAGGGCGCCCAGGGCTGAAGTTCAGAGCTTCTCAAGGCGAATGCATCGTAGAGCGCCCGAACGCCACTTCGATAGGTGCTGTGCGCGCAAAGCACGTGCCTCGGGAGCTGAGCCGAGCCGGGCAGCCGAGCAGCCGAGCTGAGTTCTTGCGGATGTTTGGGGGGTGGGATGTCAATGAGGCTGCTAACCCCAGACCCAAGCAAAAGATCTGCGGAACTCAGTGGAACATAGTAGAACTATGTCAGAACTCCTGACTTCCGTTATCTCCTCGTGGCACCCTCAGTGGAACCCACAGCGCGCAACGGACGAGTCGTCGGCTGAGTGGCCAATGCGTTGGATGTTCAATGGCTTCCAGAAGTAGATGATCGTCCCATTGAAGGTCCAGATCCAGATCCAGCATGAGGATCCAGTGCTTCACCTCAGTGCCCAGCTTACTCAAGCGTCAAAGCCACACACCATGACACTCGTGGTTAGTTGAAAATCTTGTGGCCTGTAAGCACCTTCCTCCAACTAAACAGAGTCACCAGGCCCAATTTCTCTAGCTTTCAAGGCTGCTCCACTGCTGTGTTTGTTGGTGTTTTAAGTCTTCACCCACATAGATCCAGGTCTCCACATCCTAAACGATCCTCCAAAAGCGGGAAAGGAGGACAGGACGTGGCAACTCCTGGACTGGGTGTTTCTGACGTCTTTCTTCGAACCGCAAGAACGAATTCCTGCTAAACTCTGAGTTCCCAACATAACCTCAGGTTTAACAAAAACATGGCAAAGAAAAAGTGCGAAGAAATGCAACAAAAAAAAACACCATTCAGGCGCCAACTTGATCCTTTGCCTAGGTCCAACAATCCCATCCCAATCTGGCCAACGGCACCTTCGGCACGTAGAGCGCTCGCAGCTTCCGCAAGTAGAGGTTCCGAAGCTTCGCCTCGGGCAGCCAAGTTGACGTGAACTCGCGTCAACGTGGATGCTGGTCATTGGGTCAATCCTATGACCATCTATTACCAGGCTTCAGTGGATGCTGGTCTATTACCAGGTTGCAGGCCTGAAGTGCAAAAATAGTGGTCATGGATGGCCATTCTTTACTGACTGTTACCGGCAAGAACGGACAGACCCAACATGGTCAGCCTCTCTATGTTTCGGCATTGGCATTGAAGGATGATGCTCTTCACTTGTGAAGTTGTTATACTCTTGAAAGCAAGAGTGGGGCCAAGCACTGCTTGGGCGCACGACCAGCCACGATGTTCATGAACATCATGAACATCATTACCAGAAGCCGGTTCTTCCGGTGTGTCTGTTGGGGCGATGTGCAATGTGTGAAACACTGCGAGTCGTTTGGAACCCAAGAGTTGAACATGACCGTCACCAAACATCCTCAAAAGGCGACCACAAACAAATGCTAAAGAATAAACAATCTAGCCACCCCCCCAAAACAAAAATATGGTCAGCGTCTAAACGAAGAAAGTCTTATACACAAGAAAAGGTGAAAAGAAAGGTCTGGTGGAAAGAAAAAAAAGGTCTGTCCCTCTGGTCCTCCCTCTGGTCTTCCTGGTGGCCATTTCTCTCTAGCCACCCTTTCCAAAGCCGAGAGGCCAGAAACCGGACCCCATCATGACCTGAGGCGCTCAGGCGCTGCGTCACGTCCGCTGCTCCGTCCGCTGCTCCGACCGTCGAGCGAATGGGCGGAGGCCGTCCACGTCGGTGCGTGCTCAAGAGCGATGAGTCCGATGAGTCGGATTAGGCTGGGATGAGCCTGAACCATCCTTCACGAAGGGTGGTTTAAGAATCAATCCGTATTTCTGAGCTATACTAGAAACCTCTGGAAGAGGTTCCACGAATATCCCTGGTCCTTGAGTCACTTGGCAAAAAACTAGACGACAGGGTGGCCCGAAAGCAAGTAGGCGGAAGAGAACAAATAGAAGGGAAGAAAAGCGAAGTAACAGAAGATGAATGAGCACTAAAGAAATGAAGAGATGATATATGATGATTCAAAACATTAAGATGAAACAAAATGAGATGATGATGAGATGACACAATATATAATATATATATATCTATATATATATATATACATTATGATTATGATACTATTATCACGTTATTACCAAATCTATTAATGTATATTCTGTTGCACTGTACTTCGGAGCCCAAACGGTAGTCCCGGTCGATTCTTTTTTATACAGCGCCGGTCGAGCTCAAACGCTAGTCCCGGTAGTAAGAGCCGCCGAAGTGTGCGAAATCGCACGTCCCAACCTGGCATCAGGACAACCAATGCTCATACAAATGCACTGAACGATGACACAGGAACACCTTCGAGCCAGAACTATAAGGCGAATAGCAACCAAAGCGTGTAAAACACCATGTAACTACGCACCGAACGATGACACAGGAACACCTTCGAGCCAGAACTATAAGGCGATTTAGCAACCAAAGATTGCAAAACACCATGTAACTGCGCACCGCAAGCACAGAGAATAGCCTCCCAAAACCGGATCTCGACGTCCAAGCTCCAAAAATTGCGATTTCGAAGCGTTTTTTAAAAGAGATTTATAAGAAAAATGAAAGCGGCAAAACTTGGAAAAAAGTACGTTGGAAACCATTGCAGTAGCAATTATAAGGCGATTAGCAACCAAAGCTTGCAAAACACCACGTAACTGCGCACCAAACGATGACACAGGAACACCTTCGAGCCAGAACTATAAGGCGATTAGCAACCAAAGCTTGCAAAACACAATGTAACTACGCTCCGAGCGATGACACAGGAACACCTTCAAGCCAGAATTACAATGGGGGAACGCTCCGGGCACAGACCATGGAATCGCATTTCCCAACGAGTATGAAGTCCGCAGCGCACATTCGCGACATCCTTGCGACCAGAATTACAATGGGGGAACGATCCGGGCACAGACCGGGCACAGACCTTGGAATCGCATTTCCCAATGAGTATGCGGTCCGGACCGCGCATTGGCGACATCCTTGTGACCAGAATTATAATGGTGCGCCCAGCCGCGCTCAGACAAAATGTACGTTTCACCACACGTTCGTGCACTCGACACGCACGATCTCCGCAGAGGGTTGCTCACGGACAAACGCGATTCGCGTCTCACCACACGCGCGCGCGATCGATGGCCACGATTCCACGAGAGGGTTGCGTTTCGTAAGACCTGCTCGCACCGCCCCGCCGCCTAAAGAGAAGAATAAAGAAGAAGTTGGGTAGGTGAAGTTGGGTAGGTGTCTTAAGGAAGATGTCTACACCTACCTATCTTCACCTACCTATCTTCACCTACCTATCTACACCTACCTACCTACACCTACCTGTCTATACCCACTTATCAATACCTACCTATCAATATCTACTTCTGATGTACTTTGATATTGTTGATCTGATACTTCTACTTCATATGTTATGTTGTGATGTGATATTATTTTATCACATGATATGAGATGATATGATCTGACATTGATGTGATGTGATATGATATTAAAACATGATATGATATGATATGTTATGACATTGATGTGATGTGATATGATATTATAACCTGATATGATATAATATGATATGATATGAGATTAATAACCTATGAGGTGATGATTAGATGATGATGTTGTGAGGGTGAAGTAGGAGAAAGTTAGTAAAGAATATGAAGTAAGGAAGGTGAAGTAGGATAAAGAGAGTCAGGAAGAGAGAGTGGGGAAGATGAAGTAAGAGAAAGAGAGTAAGGAAGAGAGAGTGGGGAAGATGAAGTAAGAGAAAGAGATTAAGGAAGATGAAATAGGCAGCAGTGCTTAAGGAAAAACCCTTCGCAGGTGCTTTCGGGAATAAACAATAAAACGCATCAACCACCCCCGCTGCCAGCAAGGCTAGGATTGTATCGATGATATGAATCCAACTAAACGATATCCTGGTGACATCTCGCCAGCTGCACTATGTTCACCAAATCACAAAAACATTCATGAGGACCAACAGCGATAATTACATAAAGAAGAACAGATGATCTTTTGATGTAATTGTATGTTTGTATGTATAAATGTACTGAATGTACAATGATTGATCATGTCTTTTTATAGCCGAGCCGCCCCAGCCCTTCATCTTCAAGTCTGCACGAGTTTGGTAGTGGCCCACGTTCGGATCATCCCTGAAGCTTTTGGAGATCAGGTGCAGAGAGACCCGGGAGGCTCGGGAGCTCCTGAGACAGGTCGCGTCGCGCCAGCGGTTCGCCGCGTGATTTCTTTTTCTGCGGTGGCTTGGTATGTTCCGTTCCTCTGTCTTTTTGGTGCGCGCCGGTTCTGGAAGTTGCAGGGTTTTCCGGAGAAAAAGTGATGAAGTTCAGTCAAAATGTGTGATGAAACGACTTTGTCAACTGAGGATTCCGATTGCTGGTTGTTCCTTTCAGTGGCTTAGAGGCCCTACAATCAACGTTTCATTGCCCTTAAAGTCGTTTGATCTGTCTGTTTCTATGAGCTTTGCGAGGACAGTGTTTGGAGAAATGTGTCTTTGTCTATTACTAATGATCATTAGTGTTCCGGTCGTGAATTTAGCGATCGGCAAAGCTCTCTCTCTCTCTCTCTTCCACCCGCTCAGCCCATCCAGATCTCGGCTCCTTCGTCTCTTTAGCTCCTTCGCCCACGCCACAAGGAAGGCATGGGTGCCGTCCGTGGAGTCGTTCTCCACGAGCACCACGTGCACCTGTCGGACGTCATGCGGTGATCCATTGGACCGAAATGTTGGTGATCAGATGTGATCAGTCGAAGGACGTAGACGAGAAAGTGGACGACCCAATCATGGATGACCTGGATGACCCATCCAAAACCATCCAAAACCCATTGGCAAGTCGGAGTCGATGTTCAGGTCTTCTCGTCTTCTTTCCTAACACCTGGACTTGTCAGCTGGTGCAAGAAAAAAAACACTGCCAGGGCAGATGTATGCACTCAAGCTGGGCCAAAAACGTCATGAGGGTTGATTTAGTGGGCCGTCATGATTTCAGGCACAGTAGCATACTCCTCCAGCATCTTCAGGACTTACCAATGATGCACAAGACCCATCAACAACCTACAAAAAAACCGGAGCACAAGAACCTTGAAATGCTTGGGACAAGTCCTCATCCATGTCCATCCTATTCTCCACGTCTACCGTTAAGCCTCTAAGTACATCACGCCCCTTCAACGAAGGGTCCAACTCCTCTGCCACTGAGGCGCTTCTTCAAAGAAGCGTCCCCATCCTTCGACCTTTGTCTGAAGCTTGGGCAAAAACTCCTCCAACAGCTTGGACGTGGCCGGGAAAGAAGCGGGTTTGGCACTTTAAGGTACAAGACGTCGCGAAAACATCAATGTGGAAAGCCACCTCAAGCCGCGTCTCCACCAAAGATTGGCCAATACTGCTTGTTAAATCTTCCAAGAGACTGAGACCCTTTCCAACGAAAAACAAACGATGCCAACAAAATCCACCAAACCAAAAGACATCACACTCAACTAGAAAAGCATCGTCCTCACCGTTGCGGATCAGCCCCGCCACTAGCAGCGTCGCGTTGACCGACACCTGCGGAGGCCAGGGCTCTGCCGTGGCGACCAACAGCACGGAGGCCACCGCGCAGGATGCGCCGTGCATGGCGGGCGCTTGAGCCATTGAACTCTGAAGCGGGGCGAGCAAAAACTTGGAGTTGCTGTTTCCGGAAAACGGAAAAATATCAAACCTTCCGCAAGGAAGGGGATTTGACCCAAAGGGAATTGTTCAGTACATACTGAAACATACTGCAGTCGTACATCACATGGCATGCTTCTGGCACGAAGACCATGGGAGGTGTGACGAATCGCAAATTGAGAGAACGGGCATTCTGACCATGGGAGGTTGATCGCAAGTCTTGCTTCAGGGATGACTGGGCGTAAACTAAAGTGTTGATCTGCAATAGCTATGAAAGACTAGAAATGACCCCAAAAGCCATCAAAATTGTAACACTCACCTCAACCAATCGAATATGTTGAAGCTAAAAGTGCACGTTGCTGTCCTCAAACGTCGCCCGCGCCCAACACTCCACCCCCCCTGGTGCTTCCCTGCTTAACCATCGGACGAGCCTCGTCCGATCGTGTGGGTAGCGCTAAGGTGAACAGGACCATAGGCCTTCATGGGTGGTCCAGTGCCACAGTCTCTCTCTCTCTCTCTATCTTTCTCTCAAAGTCTACAACTTCCTGAGTCCCCCAAGCCCAATGGGGCTGTAATTCAGGGTCTTTCAGGGTCTTTCACAAGATTGGGTCAACTGTGGACTTTTTGATTAAAAAGCAAAAAAAAATCTTTAGACAATAGAAGATTCCCTGGAGTATACCAAGCTGCTGAGACGCAGATCGGCTCGCCTTCCGAAACCGAAACCGCTCTCAACCAGGTCACAGGTGCAACATAGTGCTTTCGTGGTGTGTAGCGGTTTCTAGCTTCTATAGCTTCCTATTGAGCCTTATTCTTCACTCCAGGACCTTCAAAGTGACCAAGCTTGAGATCCCAGGTCATGAGGTCACGACTTGTCCCCAAAGAGGTCCCTTAGAGATACCAAAGTGGTCACTTTGAAGGTCCTGGCTGGAAGTGGTCCAGTAGGTCTTAGGGCCTTTGGGGCTGGGGTGAAGACACTCCCAGAATGCGAGGTTGAGAGCAACCGGCAAATAGATGCAAACAACACCCCGCCCTTGAAGAATTGGAGCAATACTTTAATACTCAGATCTGAGGTTTCCCCCCAGCGTCAGCTCCATTTTATATAAACCTCCTGAAAGCAAGCTGGGAGTTTATGGATTTCTGACACACCCTGGCCCATTCAGAACGACATGCAACGCAATCAAAATCTGAGCATGGCACATCTCATCATTCGAGAAGAACTGTCGTCGCCGCATGACCACCACAAACCTAAACGAAAGAGAGAGAGAGAGAGAGGGAGAGATACAATCATGTTGACTGTCCACTCACGACTAACCCATCCACATACAGTAAATGGTCAGACATCTCCAAATGGTTTCAGACAAAACTTCTTCGTGTTCCCAATGCCAAAAGTATTTTGGATTGGCCCCTATCGGTGTCCAGTGTTTTGGAAAGCAGGGTTCTACTTTCAATCAAGACAGGGTATAGGTATAGGGTTGGCCCCTATCGAGTTGGCAAGGTTTTGACCAATTCAGAAATACTTAAGGCCACCAGGCCACCCATGACTAGACTTAAGGCCACCCTGTACGGAAGTGTTGTCAGATGCGTGCCAACAGGGGCAACAGTGTATTCTACGTCCAGTCAACGTGCCACAGATCATCCTTTCGCAGCGGAAGGAAAAAAATCATAACCAAATGGGCTAGATTTCTGTCATAGCTGCTATACATCTGGCTAACCAATGCATACCAATGCTAACCATTCCATTACACTGCTTGGACTGAAAAGAGCTTTCTTACGGGTCTTGGATGAAACAATCTGCAACTCATCCTTCGTGAGAACCATAACACTTCATAACACCCGCCCTTGCTTAAAGCTCCCAAAAGTTAGAATGCACATGAATGCACCGTCTCTAGGCACTGTCTCTGTCACACATTTCTGTCCTCTTTCGGCCGCGCAGCCCACATTCACGGAAGAGCTTCAGGTAGTGCTCCGGTGTTCGCCTCAGGCGTGGGTTCCTTTCCCCGACTATGGGGTCCCTGAGCGTGCCGGACCTTCAAACCAGTTCGGAAGGGCGGTTCGGAAGGGAACGCGAGGCACCCAGTTCCGTGGAACGATGTGTGGATTCGGTATTGAATCCTGGTCAATCGAGGCCTGAGAAAACAAACATACAGCATCTCTTCAAAAGTCCGAGAGTACTCGACAGCCTGAACATCCCAGTCTTCACTGCCCCAGTGTCCCGCCATGATCCTGCGCCAGTGTGAACACCTTTCCGTCTTTCAGAACCACTTTTCATCCCCTTTCTTCCTCTCTCTCTCTCTCTCTACTTTCACAAGGTCCCAAAAAATATGTGACACGGTGACACCACGAAATCACCGAGGTGAGAACAGCACCGACATTGGCCCGGTCTTCGCTCCTCTCTCGTGACCTGACAGTCGGTGGATTCTCAGCATGGCGAAGTGGAGTACTTCTCAACAGGTGTTGAATGAATTGAAAAATGTATTCTGTATTCGCATTAAGTGGATCTCAGGCTGTTCGATACCGATGCCTATACCTTGAGATTCCTGCTTCCCCCGATCCAAACAGGCCGATGATCTAGAGGGGAAGAAAATCCCAGTATTCACAGTAGTGGTTTCTTAACAAAGCTATAGAGGATCTATTTAAACACAGAACCTGTTGCATGCAACAAAACATGCACTTGCGAATCTATACATCTACGGTCCGGAAAAAATATCGTTCCAAGTCTGAGGTTTGGACGCCAGAGTTCACCCTCTTCATCATCAAAGTAAGATCCCACACCTTGGAACGCTCCGCTCCGCTCAGCAGCTGCGCCTGGTCTTGACCTCGTAGAGCCTTTGATCCCCCAAAGATGAAACTGTCACGAAACATGAATCCCAGTCCTAGGCTTCCTAGGACTTCAGGCGCCTTCTGGGCCTTCAGGCGCCTTCTGGGCTTCATCTTCACAAATCATTCACCATGACAAAATCACCGCTGAGTGACACTTATCGTGCTGTTCGTGCAGCGTACAAGGAAATCGATGAAACTTAAGCTGCTTCGGCCGATTCTATGAGTGCTCAACTGTAAAATGCTTGCGAAACTTTGAGATTCTGGCGTGACTGCGCGACATTTTCCTGTGCCAAAACGAACAAAATTCAGGAGCCCCGGTGGTTGGCTGCTGGGAATTCTGGGATGTCTTTCTTAGAACCAGGGCTAAGATGACTCTCTCCATGCTGAATATCTCCTCCTTCCCAGCAAAGGATGCGATTTAGACAGTTCACTTCAGTCCAAGAGGTCGTTCTTGCGCAGCAAAAAAACACAAAATAGAACCTAAAAAGCGAATGAGAAAAAGGTTCCAAAATTACAGGAGGACTCTGCACTACAGCCAAATTGCTTATTTGGGTTCCCCCAACCACCGACTTGCCAAGAACCCTTCTCCTCCTCATCAGTGAAACATCTTCTGAAATGCACTGAAGGACTGCAGGGTGGATCATCCAGATTAGAATCTGGCTGGGTTGTAGGCTGGCTTAGCTAGGATGTGTCTCCAAACAGGGGCAGCCTCATCTTTGCGACATGCTCAATATCTTCACTATATGACTATGTATGATATATATATATATATGAATGTAAGAAAAAATAAACATCAAGTGGATTGATCATCTCTCATGTGTCTTTTCATGCCGAGGGAAACACTGTTTGGACATGACGTTGGCAAAAAAGGCTTCGTCCGGAAACAATTCCTCAACCGCCAACGTTCAGCTCGCTGCCTTGACAACCAGAGTCCCAGCTGGCCTATGGACGGCTGGACCCACGGGAAATCGGCAAACCGGTGGCGATCATCGGTTTAAACATGTTTGAACTTGAACCAAAGACCAGGCCTCAGACTGGCTGGTGCACGGCGCACGACAATGGACGCAAAAAGGATGCATCAGTCCAACTGGAAAACACTGTTTTACTCTGTGCGCCCTCCGGAAACAAACAATTAGAATCTACAGTTTCAACACCAACCTAAGAGCGATGGCCTCCAACCTAAGAGTTGTTGTTTTGTCCGTCTGCGCTTTGTAAAGCACCACCTCAGCCACAACCATCTTGATCCATCAGTTCCGCTGCCCAGTTGCGCTAAGAGCTGGATGGCGCGACGGAGAAAGTCCAAGACCTCAAGTATGCTTCTGTTAACGGAGACGGCCGTGGGCAAATCACTTGCGCTACGCCCCTGCCAAGTGAAAATCGATAGTGAAGGTTGACAGGTTCTCGATGGGGATGATATCTGATGCTTCTTGCGACATATCACCCTGTTGTTGATGGAAGCAACACTGCAACACGTAACCACTTTACTTCGAGCTACTCCCACCCGCACAGGAACTGGTCAACGGCGCCCCTGTTTCGGCGAGCATCGGCGCTGTGCAAGCGCTGTGCAAGCGAGATGGGCGCCGACCTGACTTCCCTTGCTGACAGGCTGCTGAGCACTGACCAAACATTCTCAGTGCATTTCGACTGAGAACTCACCGCGAAACAACCATGAGTCCATCCATCTCCGACACGGAAACAACACCGTCGTTTTCGCGGGGCACCCTCGTGAAAGGAAGAGACACGGGCTGATGTCCCCGGCGTCCGCGTCGGTGATATACATCAAAACCCACCTGAGTGAAGGAGTAGAGGTCCGAAGAGGCATGTGCTCTGCGGTTTTTCGAAACAAACATCGGATGGTCATCGTGGTTGGTCCAACAGCTGTGTTTAATCTGCTACCAATGATCTCTCTATGGCACATGGACGGATTTCTGATGATTTTGCGGGGAGGTTTCCGGAGAATTCGATAGTGCTTGCTTGCCTTCTTGGTCACGAGGATTGAGATGGGTCAAAGCCCCATTATGTTCATGTGCAATGAACAA